TGCCTTTAATCCCAGCACTCGGGAGACAGAGGCAGGAGGATCTTTGTGAGTTTGAGGCCAGCCTGGTCTACAAGAGCTAGTTCCAGGACAGGCTCCAAAGCTACAGGGAAACCCTGTCTTGAAAAACCAAATAATAATAATAATAATAAAATAAAGGTCCTGGTGTGACTAAAAATAGAAAGGATATATCTGAACATAATAAAGGTAGTATACACCAATGCTACTGCCCACATCATCCTAAATGGGCAAAAATGAAAAAGTATTTTCATTAAAATCAGGAATAAGACAAGGCTGCCTACTCTGTCCATATCTATTCAATACAGTACGTGAAGTTGTAACTGCTGCAATAAAACAACTAAAGGAGATCAAGAGGCTACAAATTGGAAAAGAAGTCAAAGTATCATTATTGGCAGATGATATGATGGTATACATAAGCAACCTCAAAAATTCTACCAGGGAACTCCTACAGCTGATCAACACCTTCAGTAATGTGGTGGGATACAAGATTAACTCAAACAATTAGTATTCCTCCTATATACAAATGACAAACAGACTGAGAAAGAAATCAGGGAAACAACATCCTTCACAACAACCACAAATAATATAAAATATCTTGGTGTAGCTCTAGCCAAGCAAGTGAAAAACCTGTATAATAACAACTCTAAATCTTTGAAGAAGAAATAGAAGAAGATAGAAAGCTCTCCCATGTTCATGGATTGGTAGATTAACATTTTCTGTTACACAGAGAAACCTTGTCTCAAAAAAATGGTCATCTTACCAAAAGCAATACACAGATTCAGTGCAATCCCCATCAAAATTCCAACGCCATTCTTTGTAAAAAATAAATAAATAAATAAATAAATATATTTATTTCTTTATTAGGCATACAATATTCTGTCTGTGTGTGTGCCTGCAGGCCAGAAGAGGGCACCAGACCCCATTACAGATGGTTGTGAGCCACCATGTGGTTGCTGGGAAATGAACTCAGGACCTTTGGAAGAGCAGGCAATGCTCTTAACCTCTGAGCCATCTCTCCAGCCCCCAATACCATTCTTTACAGACTTTGAAAGGACAACTTTCAATTTCATATGGAAAAACAAACAGAAAAAAAAGATAGTTAAAATAATCCTGATCAATAAAAAACTTTCCAGAGGTATCACCATCCCTCATTTCAAGCTGAAACAGAGCTATAGCAACAAAAACCACATGATATAGACATAAAAACAGACACTTTGATTAGTGGAATCAAATCAAAGATCCAGACATAAATCCTCACACCTATGGGTAAAAAAAAAGTGAGACATGCACAATGGAAAAAGAAAGTATCTTCAACAAATGGTGCTGGTCTAACTGGATTCTGCATGTAGAAAACTGCAAATAGATCCATATTTATCACCCTGCACAAAACTCAAGTCTGGCCAGGTGGTAGTGGTGCACACCTTTAATCCCAGCAGTTGGGTAACAGAGGCAGGCAGATCTCTGTTAGTTTGAGGCCAACCTGGTCTACAAAGAGAACTTCAGAACAGCTGGGGCTGTTACACAGAGAAAACCTGTCTCAAAAAAAAAAAGCCCTCAAGTCCAAGTAGATCAAGGACATCAACATAAAACCAGACACACTGAACCCTATAGAAGAGAAAGTAGGGAACCACCTTGGAAGCATCGGCACAGGAGAAAACTTACTGAGCAGAATACCCATCGTGCAGGCACTGAGATCAGCCATTAATAAGTGGGACCTCATGAGCCTGACAAGTTTGTGTAAGGCAAAAGACACAGGCACTATACCAAAATGGCAGCCTACAGAATAGGAAAAGATTTTCACCAACTCCACATCTAATAGAGAGCTAATATTCAAAATATATGAATAATTCAAGAAACTAGACATCAGCAAACCAAATAATCTAATTAAAAAGTGGGGTACAGATCTAAACAGAGAACTTTCAATAGAGGAATCGCAAATGACCAAGAGACACTTAAAGAAATGCTCAACATCCTTAGCTATCAGGGAAATGTAAATCAATATTACTTTAAGATTTCATCTTACACCTGTCAGAATGACTAAGATCCAAAACAAAAATGACAGTTCATGCTGGTGAGGATAGAGGATATGGAGCAAGAAGAACATTCCTCCATTGCTGGTGAGACTGCAAATTTGGACAGCCACTATAGAAATTAATATGGTGATTCCTCTGAAAATTGGAAATCAATCTACCTCAAGACCCCAAAAGAAGTTCCACAACCACAAGGACACTTGCCCAACTATATTCAAAGTGATTTTATTCATAACAGCCAAAACCCGGAAACAACTAGATGTCTCTCAGCTGAAATGGGTAAGGAAAATGTAGTACATATACACGATAGAGTATTACTAAGATTTTTTTTAAAATTACATTATGAAATTTGCAGGTAAATGGATGGAACTAGAAAAACTAATCCTGAGTGAGGTAGCCCAGACCCAGAAAGACAAACATATTACTCTCTTATAAATGCGTGTACTGTGTAAGTAAAAATAATCATACCACAATCCACAGACCCAGAGAGGCTCAGTAACAGGGAGGACAGGGAATGCATAGCTCTCCCTGAGAAGGTGAATACAATAGATTTTGCAGTGAACTGCGAGCAGATGGGGATAGGATCAGGTGGGGGAGGGAGAGATGGAGGGAGAGAGTACAGGGAGAGATAACTGAAATTAGGGGGGGGTGATGTGGAAACCTAGTGCAGAAGGTGACCCTGGCAATGGAGGATATGGAGCCTGAACTGCCCATCTTCTGTAACCAGACAACTTCCAGTGCTGAGACTGAGACACCAACCTACCTACAAAATCCTCAGCCTACAATCTGTCTAGCCTGCAAGATGTGCTGGGCAATGGTGACTCAGAGCTTATGAGAGTGGCAAACCAGTGACTGGTCCAACTTGAGACCCATGCCGTGAGAGGGAGCCCATGTCTAACACTGCCTGAATGGCCAGGAATCAGAAGCTGGATGGTTCAGAGACCTAGGACAGAACCAAAAAAAAAAAAAAAAAAAAAAAAAAAAAAAAAAAAAAAA